CTTTGGGCCGCCCTCGCAGATTTGTAGATATCGGAGATCTCTGTCGAGTCCGACCCCGGGCAGGAAACGGTGCTGGGGGCAGGTGCTCGTCCGGTGTCTGAAAGACCCCGGGTAGGAGATCCCTAGGGAGCCGCGTCCAGGGTTTGGCGACCCATGTTCTTCCTGGGGTCTACGTTGATCCTTCGATCTCTTTTACCGTGTAAAACGTGAACGTGTCGTTGATCTTGACGTTCCGTTTTCTTCGTGTGCTGTACCTTTTTAATATGTTAGCGTGAGCGTACAACGGGATATTGCATATCGGTAAAAAATGTGATGCGGGGCGTGGCAGGCGAACACGCAAGTTGATCTGAAGGGTTTTTTTCTCTCTCTCATTTTTGGCTGGTGTGATCGCCGTGTGCGCTAGTGGAGCTTTAGGCGGGTGATGTTGATGATGCAGGGAACTACTTCAGAAAATCCTTTTCATTTCTGTGCCCAGGAGCCTACAATCGAAGTGTTGATTTTTTTTTTTTTTTTTAGTCTAGTCCTAGATCAGGGAAATGCAGTTGTTTGCTGCCACCCTGCACTTTTAAACTTTGGATGTGTTGCCCCCTAGTGCATTAGACCAATGGGTGAAGAGAACACGGGACCATCACAATTTCTTTGCACTTCCCTAGTTCCCCTGTCCCGTGAATGCTGAGGAAACATGGCTTTCCCGTGTGGCCTGTGACTGTCACACTCCCCCAGTGTTAAACTCCCAACAGGTAGCGGCATACAGACTTCCCCAGAATAGGGGAAGCCTGCATGGCTAATTGTCAGGCTTACAAATATTTAGAATAGCTTTATCTTAAGTTAGATTTTGTTATGCATAGGTAGATGTAAACTGGATTGTTTTTTTTATTCTAGCTTGGTGCAAAGGTTCCCTTATGCTTTTGATGGAGGTGCCTTTATACAATCAAGGGCAAGACAGATTTTATAGGTAGATGACAGCGAAGGGGTATTGGGCGTGGTTTTCCAAGGTGCTTCTATGGAGGAAGACTGCAAAGAGATGCTAACAAAGCCACTGGTTTCTTGTGTAAATGGTTTAAGGAAGACCGATTAATCTTAGTTTCTCCTTTGCGGAAAGGGCAGCGCTTTCGTAATCATGGGAAGGGCTGCAGAAAGACTGGCTAGGAATCTAATCTGTTTTCACTTTCCTTTGCTGCGAGAAGTGCAGTGCCTGGTAGGCTTGCATAGACCAAGTGGTAGGTGGAACGGAGAGAGGCAGAAAAGCCATTGGGGCCTATGGGAGGGGGGAGAGGGAAGAAATAGGTCAGGAGAGTTGCTTCCTCTTCTTCTCTTTCACCCCTGGTCTATCTCCTGTCCTTTTTAAAAAGAGAGAGAAAGTGAGAGCCCAGAACTGCTCTGCCCTGGCATGTAAGGGCTCTGAAGCATCATTGAAACCAATGTAAAAGACCCAAGGACACATTTATAACAGGAGTGCCAAATCCCATCTTAACCTAGATTGCCAGCGCTGGACTTGGCCACATGTTCACGCTTACCAGTAAATGAAAGGAAATCGTGTCTTGGAATGTTTCCTGTTAAGAGTGTTAGACTGCTTCCTGGTCTCAGGTTGCAGCGAGAGAAGTTTAGGCTGGATATTAAAAAAACTCTCACTAGGCAGGTGGGGAAGCACTAGAACAGGTTACCTAAGAGGTGGTGAGGTCTCCATCCGTGGAGTTTTTTAAGGCCTGGCTCAACAAAGCTCTGGCTGGGATGATGTAGTTGGGGCTGGTCCTGCTTTGAGCAGGGGGGTGGACTAAATGTGACCTCCTGAGCTCCCCTCCAGCCCCCGTTTTCTATGATTCCATGATATTGTAGGGGCTGCCAGGACAGAATCCCTTCTCCCTTTCCCATGGACATCTATGAACTGGCCCGGGTGTATTTATTTTAGTAAAAGTGCAGGCAATGCTTGCTTTCCTTTAAAACTTTAGGCACCAGCTGATGGCAAGTGCAAGATACAAGATCTGCAAGTCAAGTAAAGCAGCCCCCAGGGTAACACTTAATCATTGCCATAAGTCTGGGCTGCTTTCCCCCTGGCATTGTAGTTCTGAAGCTGAGCACTTTTCTTGTAGCATCCCTCACCCTACTCAGGTTTACTTACGGTTGTGCAGAAAGGTGTAGCCAGCGAGGTCGGTTGTGCTAATACTGAGCTGACAGGGATGCATTCAGAATTGGGTGCTTTTGCTCCCCGGCCTCCTCCCAAGGGTAGCACTCATCTCTAAATGCAGCATCCCCTTCTCTCCTGAATTCTGTCCATGAACCTAAGATTGAGCTTGTCTAGATTCCCCATTTGACCTGCTTGGCATTTGATTCATGAAACTCCTTTACAATATAAACACAGAAAAATGAGAGCTTGACAGGGTTTTTTTCTCTTTTTTTCCTTCAGAGTGAAACCTCCTGACTCTGTCATGGTGCCTTGGGGGTGGCTCCTTTTCTTTTTTTTAACCATATCTCTGGAGAGTGTGTTTTCACTGGTGAAGTGTCCAGGGCATTATACTGTCAGTACAGGTCCTAGAATTTTTACTGTCAAAGACCATTTTTCTGAGATCCTTTTCTTCTCCTCCCACCTTTTGAATGTGTCATCAATTCAGATTTTCTAATAAAATCCCATTGTGCTTATACCCACATCCAGGCCTTGGGGGTGATTAAGTCAGATGGTTCCTTGACACACAATTTGCAGCAGGACTGATGATACGGAGCATAAACTATGTATTTCTGCAGCTTTTCTGTTTTAGCTCCTCTCCCTTTGTGCGTCTTCTGTTCTTCCTTTCCCACCCCCCTCTCCTTAGATCTTCAGCCTTAGGAGGAAATATTTTTTTCCCCTGAATTTTGTTGCAGCTCCACTTTCTCTGAATTGATGTCACGTTGATGCAAAGAGTGTTTTACAGACCTCAGTGAATCTGCATGATGTTGAAGCTGGGAAAACACGTAGATCGTTTTATGTCTCTGGAATGCATCTCTGCTAGCCAGTGCTGAGGGGCGAGGGTGGGGAGATCTGCAACATGTTTCTATCTGATTAATCAGTCCTCTTGAATTTGTTCCATTCAAGAAACAGAGTTGAAAATCAGAGTTTGTAAATCATTGACAGAAGTCTCTTCCTTTCAGTTTTACACATCTTATATACTGAGATTTTGAAATGAGCTACATTGCTACAGGGGTTGAGCCTCTTATCTCAAGTAATTAAATCCAGACTGCTCAAAGGTGCACATATCATAAATCTTAACATGTTGGGAAAGTTTCCTTCTTCAGAACTGCAATAGGGACTCAGCAGACAACTAATGTTGCCACGTAGGAAGTTGGATTTGTAAAAAAGGGCTCTCTAGAGAGGGTACTTTTTATCTTCAGTAGGAAGGAAAGGATTAGAGCAGTTCACTTTAAGGTCTCGTCCTCTCTTTTGACTCCGTTTGCTTCCTTGGACGTAATTGTCAGTCTGGTTTAGTCACGCAAAAGATGCGGTTGCTTTGGCACTTCGGGGGAAACCAAACCATAGGGTGGGCATTTGGATGAAAACTGAACAAAGGAAATTAGGTGACAACCTTTAGTGCCTCCTAATTATGTTATTAATTGTGATGCACAGTTCTCAAGGCAGGAGGACATCTTTGTAAGAAAAGCCATGTGGATGTGGTCTTGAAGACAGCAGGTAGAATAGTTGCCATTTAAGTAGTGAAGAGGCAGTCTTTACATTGTACATACGGTGAACTGTTTTCTGGTAGTGGCAATTATAATTACTTTTATTGCAAGATGATAACATATATTTTAATTATGTCTGCATTTCCTGATTGGCCTGACCAACCCAATATTAATATGGCACCCCTCCCCGTTCAGGCTGAGCTTTTTTCTCTGGAATTAAGACTCTTTTCCACCATCTTATTTTCTCTTTGAAGCAAAGCAACTTCTAAACTAGAAAGGTTCTTGATGGAGGGAGGCATTTAATATCCCAGCTATGAACTAAGTGTTTACTGTATGGAGGCAATGCTTGCCCATCACAAGTGGCATTGCAGGGCTACATTAGTGTCGCACCTGTGAAGTGATCTGGGGCCTATGGCTGGCAAGCACTACGTCTCTCTTCAAGAATTTGATTTTAGCATCTTCATCTGAAAAAGTAGGGGGTCTGAATCCCCACCATCATCCAGAAGGTGCTTTTCAGAGTGCCACAGAATGGCAGGGGCAGAGTGCTCAGTGGCGGGAGGGATCCAGTCCGGTTTTTAAGGTAAAGCGTATGGAATTTTGTCCCTTTTTCATTATCTCTTGTAGTCTTACACTCTTGATTTGCTGGCAACTCTGTATGTCTTACGTTCCTGTTTAAAGGATTTGCTACTGATTTGGGGAGTTGCAGGTTATCAGATGTGGCTAAAAATGCTGCTGATGCATACCTTTATTCAGTGGTCTCCAAACCTTCTTCAAACCGTTCATACATTAAATCTCACAGCTTCCCTGGATGTTTGAGCTAAATGTACCATCCCTATTTAATAGCTGGGAAACTGTGGCATGGCATTTGAGATGGGCTCAGCAAGAAACAGGTTTGTCCTCCTCCTCTGTGTTGTATCCTCACTCTCTTTCTCTCTCTCTCATCATTTGTTAGTTTTTTAGCTATTCAGGAGTGTTTCAATAAGGTGGCAGTTTTCACCATTTCTAGAAGCATTCCTACCAGATTGCAGCTACAGTAAGTTCCCGAGGAAGCCTACCCTGCAGCTTCTTTACCAGTTCTGGTAATGTGATGTGGACATTAGTCTCCAAGGCACCTACTGTTACTTTCCCCAAGCACTTAAAATGTCCTGATAATGCAGATTAAAATGCAACAATCTGTATTCACCAAAGAGACTGTTTTGTAACCCTTTTCCCAGTGTCTTATCTCTTAACATGACTCATTTTTGACATTGGCAGAAGGAAATCCTGCAGTGAGGGAGTATAAATTACCAGCCTGAAAAAGGCTGGGCGGTATTTGGGTAGAATTGGGCAGTCTGCAAGCAGTTGGGGCACATGATTCAGTCACTGAGAGGGGGGGGAAAAAATTGTATCTTGAATATGGCTTTGTGACTTTTTCAGGTTTATTGCCAAACCATGTGCCATAAACCTGGGCATTCAAGACAGCGGACCTCACAGAGCTCAACCCAATGCAATTCTAGAGAAAGTGTTTACATCCATCACCAAGGTGAGTCATTTTTCAGATCCTGCTCAAGATGCAGGTGTGTAAATGAGAACTTGGCTCTGTCTTGCGGTTTTGGTGACACACACTTTGCAGCCTAGCGCTAGTTCTGTTTAGTCAGGGTCTGTTTCTGATGAGCACTCGTTTTACTCAGTAATTTTGGCACCTTGCTTAGTTCACATATGACTGTATCCACCCCCTTTCCTGTTTCTCACAGTGACTTTTTTTCTCTATGTGCCTCAGCTTCAGTTTTGCAAGCCAAAGAATTGTTTAAAGTTCACAAAGTTTTCTTGTTGTAGAGGATGTGAGCTTTTTCCTTCAGTCCCCTGAATCTCTCCGCATGGTGTAGTTACCAGGAGATTCCTCTGTATCTTTCACTTCCTCCTGGAAGGTACCTTTACCTTCTCTGCAGACTGGCCTGGCTGGTCCGTCCCACAGGTGCCTTCCTCGGATTACTGCTGTGGTTTGTAGAACTGGGTAGCTCTCGAAGCCAAAGTCTAGTTGTAGGAAGGGAAAACTTCAGTTGTAACTGCTAACAGAAAAGGATCCTGTTTTGGGATAGGACATTGGATGTTGGCAGTAGAATTTCTTTTGGTTCTTGCTCTCAGCCACTTTTTCATTGTAACATCTGCCCATAGTATTGCTTCACCATTAAATGACTGAATCCTGCAGGCTGTCCTTCATTTATTCAGTGCTGTCAGTTAAACTGATATTGGTAGTATCACTGACACTAGTATCAGGAAATAAAACAGAGTTTCTTATGATCATATATAGGCGTCTGAATGCTGTTCTGAGTAAAGTGGATAAAATTCTCTTAGTGAGTGCAAGAGTGGTTCTGAAAGTATCTCCAGTAAAACTTGGGTCATTCTATGCTGCTTGAATTGCAGCTGAACAGAGGGAGCTTTGTGTTTCCCCACCAGTGATGGTGGGGGCGGGGAAGCTTAGACACAAGGCGTCCTTGAAAGTCAAGTTCAAAAAGAAGCACACCAGGGAGCCATTGGTTAAAAATGTAACCAAAACAACTCTGCTTTTTAGCTGGACCACTAGACTGAATAGGCTCAGAAATCGGGATGTTAGCATGGATCGGGATGTGTAGCACTGGTGCAGAAACAAAATTACTTTCCTGTTTTGAAATTAGAGTTCTATAAAACAAGCCTTATGACCTTTATTCTTTTGGACAGATGCTCGAGGTAGCTCGAGCCCCTGACACCTAAGTAAAAGGAGCAGTGTGGTTGTGATGAGATTGCAGGGAGGCTGCTCTGGAACATCATCCCTAGAGCAAAGATTTTTCTGTTCTCTGGAGTTTGTTGCACAGCCATTGTGGCCATGTTGGTAGCTCAGTGCCCTGCACAGCCACACAGGTTGTGCACAAACGCAGTTGTGAGATCTAGCCACTTCCTGATGGAGCTCATTAATTTTAGACCAGTGTCATTTTAATATCACCCACCTCAGCAATTGGCCTGTCTGGAAGCAGTTGCTATTGGGCCCTGTTTTGCCTGCTTTTGTGAACTGATTTGTGCCACTAAAGAGAACAACACTGTTAGATTTCCTAGGAACAGTGTAGAGATACTCCTGCCTTAGATCTACATTTTAGAAGTGAGAGGTATAAAAAGTCTCTGAAAATGGCAATATTTTACCCCATGGAGTAAATAAAAGTTATTAAAAAGTTAACCAAACCTTTTAAGAAAATTGTCATATCAGGATTGCTATTCTTAAATAAGTTCAGCTCTGATCATTCCAGCTTCTGGAATGTCAGGTTTTTATATAGACTTCCACTGATTTCACAAAACCCACTTCGTGTACTAATATCCTATGAAATGGTAATTAACTGGTAAAACTGTTTCTCAGGTATCTATGTTCCTGGGGGGGGGGGGGGGGGGGGGGTTGCTGTTGGGGGATTTGGAGGTGAAGAAACATTAAACCAATTCCACTTGTAAATAATATATAGGAATTGTCATGGTATGCTTCTGTTAATGCTAAAAGTTTAATTGAATTTGTATCAAAACAGAATTCATATCAAATACCATCCTTCTAGCATGATTTCTCTGTACGTGTACCTTGTGATTTTGTGACTGATTCATGGTTCAAAGAGGAAAAGTCTCAGAAAGATTTGGGAGAGGAAAGGGTCTTTGTAAAACAGGAACAGTGTCTGACTCTTGATTCATTTTCTCCTAGTCTCCAGATGGAAGAAGGTTAGAAGGGTTGTCAAAGCAGCTAGACTGGGATGTTCGAAAGATCCAGCGCTGGTTTCGTCATCGGAGGAACCAGGACAAACCCACCATCCTCACTAAATTTTGTGAGAGCATGTAGGTTTGTGCAGAGACCAGAATGTGGCCTCATCTTAAAGCTCGAGTTGCGCACTGTATTTTTAACTGACATTTTATGGGCAATGTATTATGAATGGAAATGGGTTTCTTAGGGGCAGTTGGACACTGAGGAAATAAGGAAGACTTTTTTTTTTTTTTAGCATTTATTCATACAAAGTGGTATGTATGCCAAGACCTCTCTACAGGACCATTAAAGTCTAAGTGGTCGGTAATCTTATGTCTCAGGGTGGCCTCTCTGTCATGCAATTAGTGACATTTCACCATAACTGGGTAACTCCACTTAAGGCAGGTGAGAGCTTTCTGGACAATCTGACTTCCCAAACAAAACATTTTTTTTCCAAACTGACTTTCTTCATGACTTAGGCAGTGGTCTATAGAGTTTCTTTATGGTTTCTTGTTTCTTCTAACCTCCTTCAGTTTACTCTCTTGCTTTTTCTTTCTGCCTCAACAGTTTATTTGGACCCACATCAGTGTAGTATTTGAGTTTTTTCCCCCTGCTCGTTTCCCAGATGGTGCCTTTTTCTCCTCCCTAATGACAACTTAGTCTCCCCACATTAACTTTTCCCCTGCCTTCCCTCCCATCTGCTAGTAAAACTTTGTCTACTTTAAACCACCAAGATATACAAATCGGGATGGGAGGAGGATTTGTCCCGTGTCTCTAACTGGCTTGTGCTCTAATTTGAAATCTTTCATGTGTTGAGTAGGATTTCTATTGGGTATTTGTTAGATCTTCATACTTCTTCAAAGTTGTAGCCTTGGTACCAGTATGTACCAAGATGTATAATTCAGCGTTAACTTCCCTATGTTTCCAAAAAACCCTGCAATTAAGTTTGAACCTGAATTGTTCACGTTAATTAGTGTGGGACATACATTTCCTTAAATATTTTTATTCTGATGGACGAAAGGTTGACTTTAGTAATATTAGCGAGTTTGCCCTAGAAAGACGACTTAAACTCAGCAAAACTCATTTCTGTGGGTGGTTAATTTAGATCTGTTCATAATTGTTTTGACTTTTGCTGTACAAGTATTAACCATGCAGTGTTCATTTTCATTTAAATGCTTCACTTCTGTCTTTTTTTATACTTTTGTTCTCAGGTGGAGATTTACATTTTATTTAAGTATATTTTCTTATGGAATCAGATTTCTCTGGTCGGTGAGTTGTATATTTTTGTGTGTGGCTCTCAATTTTTTCCTTCTACTGTTTGCTCCATGTGATATGCTATGAGACTAAGGGCTACATCTTCACTGCAGATTGGCTGATGTGACTATAGCACTGACATACCCATGCTAGCTTTAATCTAGCTACCTGGTACTTGTATTGAATAGGTGGTAGCACTGGCTGCAGCTGCCCATGTCATTTTCCAGGATCCCTGGAGAGTTTGTACCACCTGTAGTGAAGCTGGCGCTTTCTTCATTTTCCTTGCTGTCGTTACCCAAGTTTGCTGAATTAAAACTAGCTTGGAAATCTCGGACATAATCCTGAAAAAAAGAAAAAAGAAATAGGAGTTAGGTGCATATTGGGAGTCATGGCCTCACAAAACAGGAAAGACAGCTTTTATAAAATCTGCCCTCTGCCATGGATTCAAGAGGATTCTTTCTCTTTCCCTCTGACTTAAGAGTGAACAAGTCTATCCTGTTCTGAAGTAGAGCCCACGGTGGGTTTTTTTTCCTTTGCAAGGACACAGATCCATATCTTCAGACTGTCCTTGCTTAGAGCTCTCCCTTTGCACTTGCATTTCCATGTGCATAATAGCACAGTGTTGCCAGAAGAAATAGATGGTCTTCATTTTGTGAAATCCAAGAGTAAAGACAGCTTGGACAGAAGGAATATGTTGGAGCTCCTGGGCTGTGGTGGGAAAGGAATGTTTTAGGTGAGCAAAACCAAAGAGTGGATAGCAACGGGTCTCAAATGTTTTGGACTCAAGGCACCCCTCCATAACTGTTGTGAGCTGTGTGGCAGACAGTTTAAAAAACAAATAGATATAGTTTGGTTCCTACCTCCTTACCCAGGTGCTGAGCAGTAGGGATGGGGGATTGTCCAGGCAGAGACATGTCCGATCTGGGCTTATTTACTTATCTCTTCACACCTTGCGGGACCCTTCAAAGGATCTGATGGCACCCCAGGGTTCCCTGGCATATAGGAAGAAATATGCTAGTAAGCTAATCATCTGTTCTCTTAATTCTAGACCCCCTGGTTTTGGGACACACGACAATGCTGGTACAACTACCCTTTCCAGGTAGGAGTTGACTCATGCATGCTTCAGGGTCTCTTAGTCAAAAGAAGTCTAGTGAACTAGCTGTTGAAGTTTCCTGGTAGCTTTAAAGCCTGTACTCGAATGTGTACTATTGTTTTGTGTAGTATCCCCAAAGTTTTGAGAACTGAACCTTTTGCAAGCTCTCCAGTTTTATTCCTTGAGACAAGTGTGATGTTGAAACTCGGGAGATCTGAAGGCTTCTCATTATCTACTGAGTGGGTGCCCCAGTTGCTCTTACAAGTTTTCGAGCAGTGTTCTGCTGTCCCCTCTGGAAAGGAAGGACTACCTCAGACAGAGTTGTCTCTGTGGTCCATACAGTTTTTTGGCCTTTACATGAAACTGCCAAAGCATCCTTTTAGCAAATGTGAATGAGCTAGTGGAGTATTCCCATATTATAAAACTGATTTCCCCTGGCACTTGGATGGTGAGACAATTGTACAGAAACAGTGATACAAGCCACCTTGTATCATGGTGTTCTTTTTGCCTTTTGTTCAGCTCGGGCAGTTATACATGGACCTTAAGCCTTACTTTTATTTTTCCTACTCAAACAGGAAACTTTTATTCCTTAAACTGTCAAAACTGAAGGCAGGCAAGGTTCTTTGGGTAGATGTGATATCTTTTATTAGACCAACTGAGTAGCTGGAAAAAATGGAAGGAGAAATTTATTCCTTAACAGCCTGTCTATAATTTGTATATACTTGTAACTGCTTAAGTTGACTTTTATTAAACCTTAACTGGGCATCTGCTGCCTCTCCTCCTGCCTCAGCTTTCTGGGGTGAAAGGTTAAGAGAGTGAGATGGATTGATTAAGGGAAAACAAAGTGGCTTTTAATGCAAATGTTGGACTCCTTTGTCCTTTAACCAACCTGTCCTTTGTGTCTTTTTTTTCCAGCCCCTAACATCCAGCCTTTACTATTACTATATCATGGAGCTGGCCTTCTATTGGTCTCTCATGTTTTCTCAGTTTACAGACATTAAACGAAAGGTAAGAGCAACCAGAATTTCACTGAACACATTCCACAAGAGATGGGACCAGTAGATACATTGTGCTGCTGAAGCATTGCTCTAACTGTTTTTCTCCTCGCTCGTCTTTTTTCATGGTTCATCTACTTTTTAAGCCTGCACAGGAACTTGGAACGGCAGCCCCATCCAAACCCCTTTCACTTGCTTGAGTGAAGAAGGGGATCCATCAGCACCGCACAATAGAACTGTTGATTCTGTGCTTGTATAAAAGTAGATTTTAATTAGGAGAAGTAAGAGGATGCAAACATTATGCATGTTTCCTAGACAGATGTGGGGAAGCTAGATGAAAGTCTTGGTTTCGACAAAATAAAAAATAGCGCAGAGGTTACTTACTTCCCTTTAGGGAACATAGCACCTAATGATACCTGGGCTAGCCTCCCTCTTTGTTGCTAAATGATTTAAGGGCATAAGATTACATCTGCATTGCAGACTGTGGTGTTGGTGTAAAGATGTCCAAGCTAGCTTTAAACGAGCAGTCTAGCTGT